CTTCCAAAATCTTTGGACTTTCACCATTATCTTCTTTCAAATGACGTCTTTCTATCGGAGACCCCCTGGTGGGTTTCATATACTACCGTTACAAATCAAATGGTGTAGGAGGAATACAATGGTGAATGTCTGAAAATCTTGGAAGTAAATCAAGTTAAAGGTTGAAGTTTAAGAACTTAGACGATTGCAATGGAAATATAATGCAAAACAATGTAGTATAATGTGGTTAGGTACCTAAGCTTATATAAGGTTAGATATAAGGTTAGGTATATTCACTTTACCCTATATATATATATATATATATATATATATATATATATATATATATATATATATATATATATGGGATAATTCTTTTGAGAGGTATAATCGTAAATGATTATATGGCAGAGAGGTATAATCGTATATGATTATACATGTTTATACGTATATGCCTAATTATAAATGATTATACATATATGTCTAATCACAGATTGAGTAATTATATATGATTATGACAGTTGGTGATAAAAGAGGTGGTGGTGATAGAGGTGGTGGTGACAGAGATGGCGGTAGTATAAATGACGGAGGTGAGAGTGGTGGGGTCGGCTGGTGTCAGATGTGGTTAGGGTTGTTAATCGGGTTTTGGGTTAAACGGGTCGGGTTAGTCGGGTTTTTTTATAAAAATAATTTCACCCGGAATCCGACCCTATTAAGGTACGGGTTATTCGGGTTTTGGGTTTATAGGGTTGGGTTAATCGAGTTACAATGTAAGATAGAAATATTGTGCCATATTTATGATAAGGTTTATTTTCAGAAGCTTATATTAGGAAGTGTTAAATCCAAATGACCTTGAATGCATATGGTTTTTTTTGTTTGTACCATACAAGTAAAAAGCATTATTCATTTGATTTGAGGCTATGTATTTTTTATTTTAGGTAACATAAACTACTATTGCATCTTATTTTACTATGCTACATATTAATTTCCAATTGTGCAAAGGTGTATTTAGTTCTACAATTCTATTACATCTTATTTTCCTCTTGTTTAGGCCACATAATGTATAAAAATAAAAGACGTGAGGTGTAATGAAATACATAAATATTGTAGTATGCATTAATTCAGGTTAATCGGGTTAACTCGAAACCCAACTTTCATAAAAAAATCAACCCTAAACCCGACCCTAACTATAGTTCGGGTTTGTCGGGTTAACCTGAATAGCCCAATTAAGAATTTTGACCCTACTAAACCCGACTCGAAATGTTTTATTCGGCTTAGGGTTGGGTCGGGTTAATCGGGTTCAGGTTTTTTGACACCCCTAGATGTGGTGGTAGTGGTGGTGATGGCGACGGTTGTGGTGGTAGGGATGGTGGCGGAGGAGAAAGGAGCAGACGATGGTATATAACCATTTATAATTATAACAGATATGTCGCGCCAGTACGCCGAAGGGTTAGAGCGGCAAATGTGAAATATGTGGTTGTGGTAGAATCTCAAGATCTCTATTTTATTTTTAATCTCAATGAAACATCTCTCTCTCTCTCTCTCTCTCTCTCTATATATATATATATATATATATATATATATATATATATATTATATATATATATATATATTATAGCAATTATATCAAATTGTTAAATAAAACAAAACATGAGGATTTATGCATTAAAACTACATTTTAGATGACTTTTTACTGTTGTCTCATGTTTTTCGTTGACTATTGACAGCATATAATAAATTTTATGTAAAAGGTCAATAATATTTCGTCATTTTAAATATCCATAAATTGGGACGGTATATATTGGTGATCAACACACTTTTACACAATTTATTAACATAGTAAAATGACTCATTTTGTGAGTAAAAGGGTAAGTTATTTTATATTCCCTCCCTTCTTCGAATTCCTATATGAACATCCATGTTTCCCTTCTTATAGGTATTATATAGATCTATCATACTCATACTCCCCGCCCCCCCAACCCTATGGTATCAGACCTTTCTCTACTTTTCGTTGATGATATGGGATTGGATTAGTATTACGGATCTCTCACATCAGAAAACCAATCATATATTTTCGATTTTGAAGTTTCATGGAGAAATTATTTCTAAATTTCTATCGATTTTTTTTGAAGATTTTGTAAGTCGGCAAATGATAGTTTGCATCTTGGTCATCCGAAAAAGTGATAGAAATTTACAAAATTGTTTTCAAATGGATCCTTTTTCTTGTAACCCATCATCCTCTAGTTTTAGACAATCCTCTTGTAACATCCGGATCCCGAGGTAATTCAAATTTCAAAATTCTAAGTATTTAAGGTTGCCAATGCGTGGGGAAAGTACCAAGACGTAGCATTTCAAGAAATATCATGATCTCATTTAAGGCCGCCACAACGTGACAACGGTTAATTGAGAAACCCTAATATCCAGGGTTTTGCATTCTATTTAAGGGAATGTGATGGATAGGGTTGCTCATCCTTAGCCTCCATCACACTCTCTTAGTCTCCAAGCAAACCCTAGCCTCCATTTTTGCTCTCTAAGCTTTTTGTGTTGATTTTTGGGGATTAGAAGAAGAAGGGGGTGACTTCTAGACTTAGATTCAACAAACAACTCTTATCATCATCTTATTATGCATCTTGTGGGCTCTTGTAAGTCCCCAAGTTACAAGCTTTTTGGTTTATTGTGCATAGATTTAGGTTTCAATGCCTTATTCTTCATGTTGGGACAATTGGAGTGTTGGGATTTCATAAAGTTGCCAACTTTATGAATCCCCAGAGTCCCTTTGTGGTTAGGTTTGTTGGATCTGGAGTTTTATAGAGTTTTGAACTATTGCATGAGATCTTGCCCCCTTTTACTTTATTTTGACCTAATAAGAGTCTAATACATGCATTGGACATGCATGTCTTGAAAGTACGAATTTTATGTGGTTATAAGGTGCTAAAAACATTATAAAAATAGGGATCTAGTAAGCATTCAAGGAAACGTGCTTAATGGGTTGAGTCAAGTCATGTTTTTGCTCTATATAGACCTAGAAGTGATATCTCTATCTCTTAGAGGGTCTTAAGGGATAAAGTTGGAAACTTTATCCACTTGGACCTTAGAAAGGACCAAATTTGAGTTTTGGAGCCCTAGAAATTGGAAAGAAACGTGACTTAATGGTTTAAGTTGCCCAATTCAGTCTCGACGACGTGTCTCAGGTTACCAGGGTGTGGCAATTGGATTGAGGCCCGTCTGTTTTGTCGTTTAATAGCCACGATGTGGCCAATGATGGTCGCGTCTTCGCGACGTGCTATAGTTGATTTTGACTTTTGACCATTGACTTTGACCAAGTTTGACATAAAGGTATTTTGGGTATTTTGAGTGGTAATTTGAGACTAGGTAATTGTTTGTCGTATAGGTGATCAGTAGGGTTAGTAGTTAGAGTTGTGATATGTTCAACTATCTTTTCAGACCGTGAGGTGAGTCTTCTTCACTATACTTGTGGGTCGAAGGCACTAAGGCCGGCCCACCGGATTTTCCATCCAACTATATTGGATTGTTGTTATGCTAAATATGTGCTAGATTGGTAGATCCGTATGATTACCTGTGTTCACTGAGTATGTGTTAGATTGGTAGATCTGTATGATTACTTGTGTTGTTGGTTATTGATTGTCATTTTATATTTCAACATGTTATGGTTTGTTGGGTTGAGGCGATCCTGCTTTATGTTGAAGGCCAAGATACCTAGCACGGTTCAAATAGACTGAAGGCCAACAAGGCGGTCCAGTTAGGCCGAAGGCCCGGAGAGCGGTCCAGATAGTTTGTAGGCCCTGTGCGGCAGTTCAGTTATGTTGAAGGATCATATATGCATGTTGTTATATGTATGGTTTGTGTGTGGTACATTGGGGAACTCACTACGTTTTGGCTTATAGTTTAAGTTTCATGTTTCAGGTACTTCAGATTATCGGCGGAAAGTAAAGGCATGACTGTACACATCATTCGGTAACATGTTTGGGAGATTTTGTTACACTATGATTATGGGATATTTGTATTTGATACATGGTTTTTGACTTGGGTGTTGTTTGAAAACAATGATTTTACTTAATTAAAAATGAAAATGGTATCATGATTTTGGGATGTTACAAGTTGATATCAGAGTCCTGGTTTGAGAGAATTGGATGAGAATTTGTGTGAATCCAGACTCAAACTATGGATCTGTAAAAAATTTCAAAAATTGTTTACAAATTTGATTTTAGTTTTCAAAATGGTTTCAAGGATGATAAGAAGGATGAGATGTGTATGACTAGTCGGAGCAAGAAAGTATAGCCTAAGATACCCACATTGTTATATCTTATGATGATAGAACTATATGCTAGTGATAAGGTAGGTATCTTCAGGAATTTCATGTTAGAATTGCTTGATGTATGATGCTTGATAGACTAGGAGGACTTTAAATATGTTAGATAAAATTGACACCATTACTATAGTTTTTTAGTGTGTGCATCATAGTTGTACATCACTAAGATTCTTTAACATGAAAATGTTTGGTTTAGCCTAATTTTCCTGTTGCTTGTTTGGTTGTGGGATTAGGGTAGAATCAAGTTTTCAACTGTCAATGGGATCCAATGCTATATATGATTAGCATGCATAAGTGGCTACAGGGTTGGTGGAAGTTTCATGAGTAAGTATGTGAGCAACCGGCTTGATAAGGAGTGATTAGCCACTCTCGAGAGAGTGAGTATTGGATGTATGTGTATCCAAGTTGTGGGTTTGTTTTCGGGTAGTTTGTGATTATCCATTGAGACAAATATGGGTAGGTGTGGAAGGTAGTATCGGCCTGTACTAATGAAAGTATAGGACTCGTATGCATAACAAGGAAGTCACAAACCATGAGGGTTTAGTCTATATGTGGTGGTTCTGATGGTATGAATTGTGGCATTTCTAATATATATTTTGGTTCATTTTTAGTATGGTGATCAGGATCTGGTTCTGGTTCTAGAGTGGGTATCCATGATAGGTCGGGACTGACTGATGATTAGATACAAGAGATGATTGCCACTGAGGTGGCTACTGCTATCTGGAGTTCTATTCAAGCAAACTCTGGTGATGATTTATTCCTTGATGTTGATTTAAGTGTTACTCCGACATGCACTTATGTTCCTAGGAAACTCTCTCGGGAAGAACTAGTCAAGCTTCTTCCAGATAAATGGATCACAAACTATGAACAAATACATCAAGCTCCGGTACAAAGCGCCACAACCCTAGATTTCTTCCATCATCAAAATGGACAGGTTTAAGTAACAACTTCATCTCAAGAATCATCCTAAAATAGAAATGTATTTCCGAGTGCTTATATGATCGAACCGAAAAATTCTTTTACTTTGGTAAAACGAAGAGTTCATTGTTGGTATGATGTTTGTGATGAAATATATTCCTTTAATGAGGCATTCAATATAAAGTATAATGAAGATGAACCAAAAAGAAAAAATAGATATGCAGGTCATCTCAAAAAATGTTATGAAGCAGGAAATGTATACGTTGGACTCCTTGGTAAATCATCTAGAAACTATGATTAATACGTCTGCTACAATTACTCATGTCTCAAACCAGATCCAAAACCTTGCAAGACTATTTACCCTTCAACCCTTTCTGCATACTTCCAAAGGCCTTGACTCTCATCTATAAAGAATCAGAAAAGTACCCTCCCCCACCTCCAGTTTAGTACTATGTAATACGAATCGACCCTTCCACATCCATTTCCCGAAATTACCATACATAATTTCCCACTCTGAGTAGCTTTGAGAGTACTCAAAACCGCACAAATCATGATTGGAAAATCAAGAATCACACAATAATGACATCTTATGAAAAAACAACCAATGTTAGTAGTGTGAAGGAATGTAACGATGCAAATTTTCAAACCAAAAATTTCATTTTTTAAACACATAAAACTCATAAATTATATTTTATAAAAACCATAAGTGTCTCAATGTCAACATAAATCCACAACAAAAGTCAAATCCCAGAATCCTCAACATAATCTCAAACAAGTGTGTACAATCACGTCGTCGCTTTCCCGCGGTCCTAAGAAGTACCTGAAACACATATTACACAGCACGGTAAGCACGAAGCTTAGTGAGTTTCCCAAAATACTACATACACAAATAATAAGCCTCTCATGGCTATAACTCGACATGGACCCTCCGGTCTCATGTGTCTCGGAGTGGAACCTTTGGTCTTGTGTCTTAGTGAGGACCCTCTGGTCTCACAACTCGGGTTGGACCCTCCGTTCCTATCTTAGTGGAAACCCTCCGGTCCCACAACTCGGTTTCGACCCTCCTGTCCTATCTCAGTAAACACAGAATATAGCATATATATCACACAAAGAAAATGCATAATATCACATAACTCAAGTAAGCACATAAGACCCTACAGTCACAAATAGATACCACTCATGGTAAGTATATGGAGAAGACTTACATCGTAAGTAAGTAAAGAAAACTGGATACCCCTCAAACAGCCTAATCTCCGCCTACATGCAATAAACATCTCTAATTAACTCATAATGATCACAATGACATATAACTCACGCTAAACTCTTTCTAACTCTTGAGATGGGTAAAATACCATTTTACCCTCCATGGCCCCCATAGACACTGTCTTGACCAAACCCTAAAGTCAACAGAAGTCAACACTCAAGTCAACTGCCCATGTTGACCTAGCTCGCCGAGTGCACTTACGTGACTCGCCGAGTCCGCAGTGTTCCTCAAAATGTCGTGAAAACCCATATCAACTCATTGAGTTGTCTCATCAACTCGTCGAGTCACCCTTGTCCAGACTCATCGGGGAAAACCCTAGCCGACTCATCGAGTCAGCTCATTGACTCGGTGAGTCCCTTCAGTCTGAATTCTCATTGAAACGTTTTAAGGCAGATCTACTACTCCCCACACTAGATCTAGGCTCCTAAGGCTTGAAAGTCATGTAAAGCTTCAATCTTTACGTCCATGCATGGTATATTTTGCTCCAAAATGCAATTACAACTCTAACAAGGGTGTTTAAGAACAAATACTCTTATATGACTGAATAAAGTTTGGACCTTTGTACTATATGGACCTCACAAGGTCTAGATCTAAAGTCTAGACCTCCTGATAGACTAAATGCACTCAATGTCCCAACAAAAAGTGGTAAAAGCCCTAACTTCGATAATCATGATATCTAACTAATAAGATGAGAAAGGTGTAGGCTTTTTACCTTCCACGAAAGCTCTGGTCGATATAGCACTAGATCCAATAGTTTCTCCTCGTTCCTTGCTGGATAAACTCCTATTCTCCTCAAAAGATGCACTAGAAAACTCCAAAAATTAAATCTATAACTATTTTAGCTCACTACAAGCGTTTAGGGTTTCATACAGGGGAGTTGGGCAGCTGATGAGGCGAAAATGAGGACATAAGTTCTGTTAAATAGGCCCCAAACCCGGAGATTTAGGGTTTCACCTCACAGCACCAACTCAGCGAGTCAGCTCTCTGACTCGTTGAGTCGATCATTAAACCCACGTGGTCAAATCGGACTCTACTCGATGAGTTAGGCTCACAACTCATCGAGTCACTCATGAAGTCTCAATAATAAAAATCAATAAATAATAAGGAAATAACTGGGAGTCGGGATGTTACAACTCTCCCCCCACTAGAATCAGACTTCACCCTCGAAGTCAGGCTCCGGAAGCAACTCTAGATACTGCTCGCGCATCTCAGACTCCGGCTCCCAAGTACACTCAGATCCATTCCGATGTTGCCACTGGACTTGAACCAGGGGCACCTCTTTTTTTCTCAAAACCTTCACTTTCCGATCCAAAATCGCAATCAACCTCTCAATATAATTTAGGCTCGCATCCACCTAAATGTCCTCTATGGGTACCACTACCGTCTCATCGGCTACACACTTCCTCAACTGAGACATGTGGAAGGTGTTCTGAATCTGGCTCAAATCTGCTGGTAGCTCTAACCGGTAGGCTATCCTACCAACCCTGATGATCACTTTGAAAGGAACAATGTATCACGGCCCCATCTTGCCTCGTTTCCTGAATCGGATCACCCGTTTCCATGGGGATATCTTCAGGAGGACCAAATCTCCAACCTGGAACTCTAGCTCGGATCGTCATCGATCTACGTAACTCTTCTGGCGACTTTGGGCTGTCATTAACCTCTATCTAACCTTCTGAATCTGCCCGGTCTTCCTTAACACTATCTTAGTGCTACCCATCACTCGTTTCCCTACATCTCCCCAGCAAATGCGAGTCTGACACCTCCTCACATATAGTAGCTCAAAGGGAGGCATACCAATACTACTATGGTGGCTGTTGTTGTATGAAAACTCAGCCAAGGGAAAATAAGTGTCCCAACTTCCACCGAAGTCCATAACACATGCACGCAACATGTCCTTGAGTGTCTGAATCGTCTGCTCACTCTGCCCGTCTGTCTGTGGGTGGTAAGTCGTACTGAAGTGCAGCCGTGAACCCAACTCCTCATGAAACTTCTTCCAGAACTTGGATGTAAAATTCACATCCTGATCTAACACTATCGAAGTCGGCACCCCATGTCGTGTCACTACCTCTCGATCATATATCTCGACCAACTTTTCAGCAGAAGAGCTCTCACTGATAGCGAGGAAGTGAGCACTCTTCGTCACCAGGTCCATAATCGCCCATATCGTGTCAACTCCACGTGTAGTCCTCGGTAACTTGGTGATAAAATCCGTGACAACCCGAAATTTCCATTGTACGAACATTATCTATTCAATAGAAGCTAGTCCAATTTCTGTAAATTTCAGACTTGTCCGAACAAGTTTGTGTACATTAGGGTTTACGTTTCTGGACGTATCAGGAGAGTGGATGCTCCTGTAATTGTGAAACTTGAACATTTTAAGTTTCATAATGTTATAGTCCGACTTCTGGAATAAAAATATTTTCTGTCAAAATATTCCAGGACTATAAATAGATTTCTGAATTTAATTAATTCATTATTCACAATTCCAACTAGAGAAAAGCCAATTCTCTCTGACGGATCTTCGGGTTTTCATCCCAGATTGTGAGTCTACTTTCCTAAACGTGTTTTAATACTTGTTATATGCTTTATAACATCAATTACATGTCCAAAATACAAGATCCGTGAGTTTACCGCCCAAGAACGTTCTTGGGGAGTAAACTCCAAAATGGAACTTTAAGGCTTCCTAGTCCCGATTCCGTGTTAGACAACGTGTAAAGGACCTTGTGTATGATCTTTATAGACTAGAAAGCATCCAAAATCAACAAGTTAGAGGAGTTTACGGCCAAGGAACTTTCTTGGGCCGTAAACCCCTTTTTAAGGGTCAAACATGCCCTAACTTGCCTCCTTGAGCCTAAGGACTTTAACCACTAATACTTGTGCTTAGTTTGGACTTCAAAACACTTCAAAATGATAGAATTATAGGAGTTTACGGCCAAGGAAGGATCTTGGGCCGTAAACCCCTTTTCTAAGGGTAAAAATCATTCCAAGCACACCTTAGGCCTTAAGACAATTTACCTTGAGTACTTGGGACTAGAATGGAGAGTAGAACACATAAAAATCACTCCTTGAAAGGAGTTTACGGCCAAGGAACATATCTTGGGCCGTAAACTCCAAGTGAAGGCACAAAAGTGTGCCTCTTGTCCCCATTAGCCTTAGATAAATTCATGGAAGCCATCCTTGATGTGTAAGAGCCTCAAAACAATTAAAAGCCATCACCCCATAGGAGTTTACGGCCGTAAACTCTAGGGTGAATGGACTTTAGGCCGAAAACTCCACTATGGGGTATTCTAGAGCCTTAAACTACTTCATGTGTTATTCCAACAAAGCTAGGAGTGTTCTAGGATCAAGATAGCACCATAAAACACCCAAGACCACCCTTTGAGGAGTTCACGGCCATAAACCCATGAGTTTACGGCCGTAAACTCCAAGGTGTGGGGTTTGTTGGGTGGTGAACTCCTATGCAAGGCCATTTGATGTTTCAAACCCTTTTGCCTTGTCCCGTAGCAACTTAGATGCAACCATTTGAACCTTAAACACTCATAAAAGTGTTTACATGTTTCCTAAGTGTCTTAACTTATTTATTTAAGTTATTATGTCTAATTGTTATATATATGCTTATTATATGATAACTAGGCTGTGCGAGTAAACAAGTCTCCGTTTGCCACCTAGCACGGTATCCGACACTGCAATTCAAACGACTCACCACAAGTGAGTTCATACCCCTTGAATCAACCTTTGAAATGATTTTAAATGTTTTAAATACTTTATGGGGGGGGGGAATACAAGTCAAATACTTATAGTTATTGCTTCAATCACATGTGATTGCATTTAATCACATGTGATTAATAACTAGGAAAACAACGATTTTTACCAATGTTCAAACTGTTTATCAAACTGTTTCACTTCAAATGTTTTACAAACTCTTTTTACTTATCAAATGCTTTTATTAAACTTTGTTTTACTTCTTATAAATTGCATGCCCATATATGTATATATATATATATATATATATATATATATAAGTAATGTTTAAAGGGCTTAGGAAGGCCATCCGCCCTATTTCCTTTTCGCGCACTGAGATGTGGTCTGGTGGGATTTCGGGTGACCATCCGAAGGTCGTTTCAACATTAGTTATATATCATATATACATGTATAGACATAAAAGTACTTCCATATTCAT